AAAAAAAAAAAAAACGTTGGGAGTCTCACATGCAGACGGCAGAAACAATTTTGCCTGTCCGAAGAGACCCCCACCCCCCACGCAGCGGACCATCGTCAACATCATTATCGCAGCCACCAAGGCCAACCTTTACTAACGCCCTCCACGATGACCACCACCACCATCACCACCACCACCACCACTACAACAACAACAACAACAACAGCAGCAGCCAGCCAGCCAGAAGTTGTGCTATTCCATCTCTCCAAGGATCCACGGGTGTTGCATGAGTTCCTCCACCGTGGGCCGTTGCCCGGGGTCTCTCACAAAGCATTTTCGCATGAAGTCTAAACACCCCGGTGTTGCCTCCGCCTCCGGGATCTCTGTTGGCCCATCCTTCGCCTGCGCGATCATCATAATTGCTGCTGGCGCGTTCACCTGGCTTGGCCACGGTGGCTTTCCTGTAAGCATCTCTGCCACGGTACAGCCGACAGACCACACGTCGGCCTTGTAGCTGTAGCCGCCGCCCTCGCCCGTGACGTCCACCACCTCCGGCGCCATCCAGTACGGCGTGCCAATGACAGTGCGGCTCTGCGCCACAGCGTCTGACAGCCGTCGCGCCGCACCAAAGTCCACCAGCTTGATCTGTGACTCCAGCTCGGGGTCACTCGAGATATCGACGAGGAGATTGTCGCCCTTGATGTCGCGGTGAATGATGCGCTGCGTGTGCAGGTACAGCAGACCAGCTAGCAGCTGCTGCGTCCAGCGCCGAACCACACCCGGTGGCAGCGGCTTAAATTTCTTAACTAATGAGGAGAGTGACCCACCGCCAATGTACTCCATGAACATGCAGATGGTGCTGTTCGACGCGTCGTAGAGCACGCCTTTGAAGGTGCACAGATTCTTGTGGTGCAGGCGCTGCATCATGTTGATCTCCCGTGAGAGGGAAACGAGTTCCTTGATGTTAAACACGCCTGTTTTCCCTCCTAACTCAACGCACTTCACTGCGTGGAAGGAGCCACTGTCAAGCAGGCCCAAGTAGACGGAGCCGTATGTGCCGCGGCCAATTAAGAGACCACGACGCCACGTGCTGAGCTCCCCCGCATTGCTTGTCTGCAGCATCTCGGGTGTGATGCCCTCTGGGCTCAGCGTGGCCCACGCACTGTACCTCTCTTCCTCCTCTGGTGTCGCACGGAGTGTACCGTCATCGTCAGTGCTGTCCTGCGTGCCCTCCTCCCTCCTTGTCATTGTGGCTTGCGGCTGCACAGGTGGCAACCGCAACGTCGTACTCGAAGCGAACGTATTGTTGCTGTTGGTGGTGTTATTGCCGCTGCTGCTGCTCTTGTAGTTGCTTTTGAGGGTATTGTGCATCTTATCATCGCCTGGCCGAAACGTTGTGGTTGCTCGGGACGCTCTGTCCGTCAAGAAAAGACGGTCGCTCTGAGCTGTCGCCCCCCGACTGCTGCCGCTGGCCTTCTTTTTAGTGCCGCACTTGGAGCAGAACTTCGCCGTCGGCTTGTTGAAGGACGAGCCGCAGTGTTGGCATACCATGCCGCTCACCGGCTGCTTGGCGGTGCCGGCAGCGCCCTCCGACATTCGCACACGGGACGCGGAAGGCAAGACACACACACACACACACACACCCCTACTCACTGCAGCAAACGAAGAGTGCGGGTATGCAGGAGAAAAAAGAATCGGCCACACACACACACACATAGAGAGACAGATATATATATATATATATATAGCAATAACGAAAGAGAGGAGATAGGGAGGGACAGAATGGTGTGCAGTTGGTGGTAGGCAATCCACCGGCACACACTGAAAGACAGACAGGCACACATACACATACAGCAATGCCTCATCATTACTCTTGATGTTGTTGCGTTTGTTGTCATTGCTTCCGCGACTCCTCTCCATTTTCGCTGCTCCGCTGCGCTTCTACATCGTTGTGTCGCTCGACAATACAAGCAGCGCGCCGCCACTGCGCCTTCACACACTTGCCAACACCAGCACCACTGTCATACATGTGGGCATGCTGCTGCTGCTGCTGCTGTCGCAGCATTTCCCTCGCCCACTCCACCTCCGCCGCGGTGGGGGTGAAGGCGTCGTGACACGCAGCGATCTGCGCCGGCCGCACCACCATATTGCCGTCAAAGCCGAGCGCACGGCAGCGGCGTAATTCGCGGCGAAACCCAACAGTGTCAGCGGCGTCGTGAAATGCGCCGTTCAGAACTGGCATGCCGTAGGCTCTGGCCGCGAGTATCACCTGAAGGCTGCAGTGCAGTAATGGGAGCGACTTAAGAAGTGCCTCCTGCAGTACACCGTCCGCGTCGCCCTCATCGGGTGGCACGGCGCCGCTCGCAAGTTGCAAGCCGTCCACGAGCTCTCCTATGCCCACCACCGCGTACTTGTAGCATCCCTGGCGGCAGACCTCCGCTGCCTGCAGGACGGAGAGGGGCGTGTCGAAGACGGCCCACAGGTGATGATTGGGATGCACGTATTCCGCAATGAGCTCAGACGTGTTTGCCGTCACTGCTGGTAGTGCAATGCCCTCCACATCGCTACCAAGAAGCCCTGCGAGCTCCATATCGAGAATTCCGTTGGCGGGGTCCTGCTCAAGTGAGTTGACACGCAGAATATAGCGTGTTCGTTCTTGCTGTGACTTCTCGTCACTTTCCTCCTCCCCTCTTTCTGTTGCGTTCTCCTTCCGAAGGAACTGGTAGACACAGTCCCGCACGTCACCGGTCTGTCTCCCCCCACAGTCCGTTAGGTCAAGCATCACAACGTCCGCTGCGGCTTGGTGGCGCCGCTGCTGTCTCTGCATTGTGTCGGCGATGCTGGCGGCGGGGACGACAAGAACACTGCGCGGGCACGCGTTGGGGTCTGCGCGGATGCGGGGCACGCCGGCAGTACCTGACACATTCTCCGCCGCTTCACCCCAGGCATCGGGGCCGCACAGCCTGTCATCCCTGCGGTCGCACCACACTGCGTAGTCGTCGTACAGATGCTGCAACCGTGCCCTGAGGCCACTGCCGGCGCCACACAGGCATGGGGCGAAGCGCCGCATTCCGGTCTACGCGATGACCGCTAATGTGCGTGTGTGTGTGTGGGTGGGTGGGCGTGTAGAGGAGAAGTGGGGGTGAGAAAGACGGAAGGAAATAACCAGCATGGGTGTGGGTAGATAATGAATGATATTGTTGACGGTGTGCGATGATTGATTTTGATTCCGCCCATAATCTTTCTTCTGCTGCCAAGCAAAACTGCAGCGACTCACACAACCGCCGCACATAAAGCGAGAGACAGAGAGAAAGAAAAAGACGTATGCGAAATCCGGGTGCCCAACAGGGATATGCCCCGGTACCAGTTTTCTTCTCGTTGCCAACAACCGAAAAAAAAGCCTATTAGTGCGTCCGGCGCAAGACTACAATATGGAAAATATGTTTTTTTTTTGTTAAGGCACCTTGATGTGACGCCTCAATCCGCCAAACATGGCCGCGGGCACGAGCAAGGAGCCGCTCACCTTCCACCATAACTATCATCACGATAGCAACAGTGACAGCGGAGATAACTCACGCCAACATAGGAACAGAAAGAGGCAACAAAAAAAGAGAACTCGCCATGTGTCACCGTGGCGGTATCTCTGAGCCCTCGAGTGCCATTACGGCACAACGGTGCTGGTGGCGATGTAGCAGGGCAGTGACGCTGGCTTCCGCATTACTGGTGACACCGGCAGCGTCAAGGCGACGGTGCCCACCTTCAGAGCACAGGGGGGCTCCATTCACACCCTTGTAGCGCAGGAGGCTCACGTGCTGTGGCACGGGGGCGTGTTTCCCCTCTGTTTCTTCCATCGCCCCAACGCGCCGGGGTTGTGGCAGCGGTGCAACACTGCTCTTCACGCAGTCTCGCAAATGGAAGGTCGAGATGGCGTTGAGCGAGTTGTCCGGTGCACAGTATCGTGTTGCAGGGATTATGGCGGTTGCGTCATTCTTGTTACTCTTGTCGATGTCGATATTGTTGCTACTGTTGCGTTGGTTTTTTTTACTGGGTGCCTCCCGCTCCGTAGGTGCTGCGTCCCTCGCCACATCACATTCAATTTCGCGGCGGCTGTGAGTCAGCGGCATTGGTGGGGACAGCGTCTTTACTGCCCGGCGATGCAGCAGTGGCACTGTGTCCGCTTCAAGCATCACGCCATTCACCTCGCGGTTCTCGCTTGGCAGCCGCCACGATGCGGCGACCGCAGGTGCGTACGTTCGCTGTGCCACCCAGCGAACTAGAGGCTCCGGCGGCCGCAGGAACGACGACGACGACGACGCCGCAATGACAGCCCCGGCTGCCGGTCTGCCGGCCATCACCTCGCTGCGTCGCCTCATCGGCCACCCCTGCAGGAGACGTTCAGCGAGCGTTACAGGCCTGGTCCCACTGTGCCGGTCCTCACCAGCGCCAGTAGCCTCCAGTGGAGGAACGCGAAGCGATGAGAGGTCCAACGACAGTCGTCCCTCCGCTATTATGGGCTCCTGTGCAGCGCCACATTCTTCCGTGGAAGGCGCCCGGTTGATTCCGCTGGGTTGTTCGCAGGCCAGTGTAATATTTCTTCCACTGTCACTGCCGCTCCTGGTACTGCTGCTCTTGTCGTTACAACTTTTGAAGTTGCTGTTATTGGCGTTGAGGGAGCACCAGCTGCTGGCTGCAGTGCTATTTGAGTCATTGTCTATAGTCTCCACCACGTTGTCATGAGTATCGATTCTCGCCACACCAGCAGCAAGCTCAGAGCGAAGCATGCACGTGTGCATATACTTATGTATGACGTCGACGACAACTGTGTAGCGGCATACACCACAGGGATCGACTATACCCAAGAGAGAGTGGTGAGAAAGAATATGATGGGGTGCGAGTTCCCCTTCCCAGAAGCCTCAGATACCTCCACGCGGATTGCAATATAAGATTCAACAGGAAGGGACACAAACCCACATAAATACTTACACGAAGGCACTCACTCATCCGCACCATCGCTAAAAACACTGGCATTGCTTATATTCGATAGAAAATTGGTATTTAACCTATTCGTCATCATCATCGTCTTCTAGTATACGCCCTGTACCATTTTGTCAAACCAGTGCACCTGATCCTCCTCAATATCGTCGCCGACGATAGACCGAACAGCTGCCTTCCACTCGCCCAATTCGTGGGCATGTGTGACGGAAAAAATGAACGTTCTTTGTTTCTTGTTGCTGCTACTGTTGTTGCCTCCTTCTGTTTGCTTGTCGTGCTCGACCCGGATACCAAAATTTGAGGGAAGCTTGGCCTCGTTACCAGGATCCACGAGCTTGGCATTCGTGAGATCAATCACACCTTGGGGCCTTCCCTCTTTCATGCTCTCCTGTGAGTCAAAGTAATACAACTTGCAATTCTTCAGTACACAATAGCGTTTCTGGTTGCTGTAGGGCCAACTAGGCTGCTGCTTAAGTAAGAATCCCTCCTTGTACACCTTGGCGGGATTTGCCCTAGCCTTGGAGTCAGCAGGAGACTGCAGCTGCACTTGCGGGTCCAGAGAAGCTTTGCCATTCGACGCTGCGCCTACCTGAATCTTCGTCAGAGGGCTGCCGCCGCCACTGTTTGGCGACGTCAACCGCAGTGGGGCGACAACTGGAGCAGCGGTTGGCCGCGGTGGCGGCGACCTCATGGCCGCAAGCACTGCAGGGGGCGGCAGGTCGTCGTCGGAGTCGGAGTCGTCAAGGTTGATAGTTGGCTTTGGTGGTGGGAGATCGAGATCGTCGTCGGAGTCCATTCTTCCTCTTCCTTTGTCCCCTTTCCCACCTCCCCCCCTTACTGTTGCTGCTGACTGGGCTTGCTTGTCTGGTGCATCAACAGATCAGGGTTGAAAAGGCACATGTGGTATAGTAGTTGGACAACCGGCAAGACACACTCGCACCAGCGCGCCAAGTAACATCACCAACAGCAGCCAAAGCACCACCAAGAAGCGTGTGCATCGCAGGAAAAGAAAAAAAATCTTGAGAGATTACGAGAATTCGTACAGCCCCAGACATATTATTTGGAGCGACGAGCCTCGAGCAACACAAATCCACACACATGGAATTTTATAGAAGGAGAGAACAATTACTCTGACGACCTATTCCATACTGGAGAGAAAGCATGGTAGCTCTTCAAACACAGTAGATGAATGAGTGTTGGACTCTCTTGCAGAGGCAACGGCGTCTGAGAGGACGCCATCCTCAGAATCATCCAAGCTGTCATCGTTATCGAGAATGTACGCGTTTGAAGGACTTTGCTGCTGCTGATGTGCGTATGTCTCCCGAAGCGACTTCCACCGGTGGGCCCACTGCCATACCGTCCACGGAACGGCGGCGCCGCAAAGCTCACGACAGAGACCCGGCGTGGCGCGAACGGGGACCCGCGAGCAGGATGCACAATTACCACGTAGCTGCTGTAGGTCAACCAGTTCACGGGCCTCCTTCAGCACGTCCTTAATGTGAGAGCCACGCATGAACTCACCCTCTGAATAGCTGTACAGCAGCTCCGCCTTGATGTCCTCTGCGTCAAAGATCTGCTGCCGTACCTTTGCCCTCGTTTTCTTCCGGAATGCATGCAGCTGCTGCAGGCGTGACAGAATCAAATCGATTTCATTTTCTTCCGCTGTTGCTCCCTCCTCCGTGCTGCCGTTGCTCGGTAGCGTAAGTGCCCCGAGTCGGTTGAGTATCGCGCAGACAGCCTCAAGCGGATTGCTGGCGCGGGCACGTGGGGACCGAACAATAGCAGTAGTGGTATTATTAGCAGCAGCACTGTTCCCCAATGCGCCGGTGTTCCTCTCCTTGGGGAAGTAGAAGCGCACCTGCATAGAGGTGGTGTAGCCTAGCGGCGGCATACCAGGACCACGTACAAGTGTCGGCCCACCTGCACCTACCCCGCTGCGCAGTGGGGCGCCGTAGCCATTGAGCAGTATGTGCGGTACGTGCTGGTATGTAACGATATTTATACCGCTCTCCATGGTGGCTTCTTCACCATAGCTAGAGGACGGTTGATGCGTGGAGGAGGAGGAGGTGAACGAGAGCGGCAGCGCCGGCACCGTGAGACCGGAGAGGGCCGCCACGACACACTCGACGGCTTCAGTACGTGTTGATGTCGCGACGAGGCTTTCCGGGAAGTGGAACACAATGGTACCGCTACCCTCCTCGCAGTCGGCCATGCAAGCAGCAGGGAGCAGCAGCTCACCACCACAGTCTAGGCGCTTTGTGAGGACGATGTTGCGAGCTGCCGCATTTTCGCCACCATTGAGCATGCACCCAGCGCCCACTTCGACGAGGCGCGGTGTGGGGAGCCGCATGTGTCCACGCGACTTTGTGCCTCCATCCTCTTGCTGCTGTTGTTGCGCAGCAGGGGGAACGCCCAGGAGCTCCAGCGCAAACAACGGGACCGTAGCTGTTGGCGCTGCGCCTTCGCCATTCGACGCTGGCGCGCTTGCCATACTCTCCGCCTCGATGACGTGGAGAAGTATGCGCAGCTGCGGCTCCCCCAGCGGGATAGAAATGATTCGCCGCTCCCGCACCTTGTCGCTGTTCCCATGCGTGCGCTGTGAGAACTCGAGGCAGGAGGATGAGGCGTCCTTGGGTGGGTGAACAAGGCGCAGGCAACCCCACTGCGTCCTGTGGTTCGCATCCCTCATCGCACTTGCGAGCGGGGCATTCCGCGAGCGGAGCTCATCAACGTTGATGCCGCCTGCCAAACACACCGCCTCGCAGTGAATTCCTTCGTTCAGTAGTTTTTTCACACTCATCTCCTGCAGCCGCGCCTCATCATTGTAGGAGCCGATGAGTGTATGTACACTCTTGACCTCATCGCTATTTGACAGGGTGAGTGGGATGGCGGCAACAGTGGCACTGTTTTCACCATCTCCTCCACCACGCACGTCCAAACTGCCTGACATTTGGCTCCACTCCGCCTTGAGCATCTCCAGAAGCCGGTCAACGTTCATCGGTCCTGCGGGTGTGAGATGCACGGCCGTCTTGGCCGTGTCAGGCGCCAGGCCGGTAGCCTCGAGCGCCCACCGCAGCGACCCTGGCTGCAGCACGATGCTGTCTAGCATCTCCATCTCAATGCGGTGCGCCAGCAGCAGCTCCTGCCGCATGACGCGGGCCCATAGCCCCTCCCACACCTCGTCACTCAAGACAAAGCACGTAGACTCCTTCCGCAGGAGTGACATCTCCTTTGAAAGAAGAAGCTGCTGCTGGTAGATAGCGCCCATTTCTTCATCAACGTTGCCATCGACGGGCTGCCGGGTCACGGTCCCGTCTGCATTGGTGTGCTTTTCTAGATCTCGTAGCTGCTCGTCTAGACAAAGCTCCAAGTCATCCTGTAACGCCAGGCGTTGCCGTATGGCGCGAATGCCTTCAGACAGCAATAGCTTCTCTTTTGCGTGGTTGGTGATTTCAGCGGAGATGTCCTTCAAACGCTGCTTGATCGCCATGGCGTGGGCGTCCCGCAGCACCGGCTGACTATTCTCCTCCGCAAGCTGAGCGTTGTAGCAGCGCAGTTGCTCAATGACGAGCTTCAAGCTCTCCACTTCATTCTCCTTCTGGCGTCTGTATTCTTCAACATGGCGATCCCGTTCACGCCCAAGCTCCGCGGCCGCCTCCTGCAGCTCCTCGTCCTCCAGCATCCGGTAGCGGAACATGTGCCGCCCCAGCATCACTCCAATGGCGTATTCGCGCATTTTGACGTGCGCAAAGTTGCGCCGCGACGTCAACACGTCGAAGGAGTCTGTTGTCGCACCTGTTCCTCCTCCTCCTCCTTCTGCTGCTGCTGCTGCTGCTGCTTCTGCTGCTTCTGCTGCTCCTCCTCCGTGCAACAGCAAGCTGCTCGGGGTAAGGCTATTATCGCCTCTGTCAAGGTACGCGAGCCTCACCTCGGCGCAGAGCTGCGCATACTCTAGTTCCGACCGACGATACGCCTCGGAACGCTCCTCGGCCTGCGGATCGTTGAGGTCCTCAAACACGGCAACGAGCTCATCGGTCACGTTGAGGAAGCTATGCGTCTGCACGCTGGTATGGCGCACCTGCTCTGCGAACTTAAGACAGTTGATTGTCTCCTCTGCGGAGCACGGCGTCACGTGGACAAGGGTCAATACGCGTCCCCACTCCAAACACGGTCGCAGCAGTCGTGTGAGCTTCGAGTCGCGGTACGGCACGTGACTAGAGCGCTGGTATAACGCTAAGAGCACCGAGGACAAGGCAGAGAGCGACTTGTTGATATACTGCGCCTCACGTAGCGCGGCGCCCTCCACTTTGGTGTCCTTCACCCGCTCCGACCCAGCCAGGTCGACCATGGCAACGTATGAGTACACACTCTTCGGTGGGGCCTCATTTCCCACTCTTCGGGAGCCCGTCAGATCAAAGCGCAGCTGCAGAATAAACACCGCGTGGGAGCGGGAGCTTGTGTCATTCCGCTGGTGCCCCTTCGTGACGCGGTTACGTGACGCCAGGGAGTAGCAGCGGCGAAGATCGTCAACAGACGACACTGGCATACCGCCACCGCGAAACGGGGTGTTGCTACTCGTCCTCGCCGTGTTGCTGCCACCACCACAACCGCTGCCGCTTCCACCACGTGGTGTGGACGGTGTCGGTTTGTTCATCTTCTCGCAGAACGCATCGAGGCCGCCAATGTCGCCGACATTTGGGATAGGCCGCTTAGAGGGGTCCAGAAGGTCGCGGAACTCATCCATGTACAACTCAACGCCGTAGAATGTGATTTCCCGCAGTGTCAACGTCACGTTATGGCGTCGCTGCTCCGGGGCCTTGTCCTTAACGCCACCACTGCGATTGCCGGACGGCGTCTTCATCGCTGCCTCCTCCCGATCCAATGTGATCGGCTCCCCGCATCGCTCCAAGAGGACAAATACAAAACGTGGCAGCAGCCCCATCGTCTCGGTCCCTCCACCTGTTATTGCCATCTTCTCTGCCGCTGACTGAGATGACAGGCGGCCACTGCCACTCAAACCGGATTTCCCTTCACATCCAAGAGATGTGCCACTGTCCAATAAGCCAGACCACTCGATTTCATAAGGAGAGGTAACTGACGACAGCGAGCTTCCCGTCGCATCCGTCGTGCGCTCTGGAGTGTGTGTCTTGCGACGCTGCTGGTGCTTTTCTTTCTGCCCTTTCACCCAGGTTGCTGTTGCTGCTGCCGTGTTGCCACCGCCTGAAGTGCCTGTTGTGGTGCTACTCCAAAAGCTCTTCGGCGAGCATTCGCCTCTAACAACGGGTTTACTCCCGCTTTTGCTTCTTGGTGGCTGCTGCTTGTCGAGGACTGGCGTACTGCCTTGTGCACCCCTGCTAGTTCGCTTCGCGCCAGGCTGGCTACGCGTAGAGCCCATCATGCTGTACGTCTTGCCGCTCCCTGTAGGTCCGTAACAGATAATGGCGACGCTCTGTGCGAGCAGGGCCATGTCGACGAAGTCCAAAATACTCTCCTCAAACACCTCCTCTTGTGTTACATCCTCACCGTGTATGAAATCGAAGGTAAAGTGCTCCTCTCGCCCTCCGCCATCGCACCTCCTGGGAGACACCGTGTCGGCCAGACTTATCCCCGCGGCCGGCTTCCCCCCGCTTTGCGCGAGAACGGCGGAGGCACCGCGACTGCGTGGAATGCTCCTGTAGCGCTCACGCGGCGTTTCTTTCGCCGGTGGGGGGCACAGCGGCGACGGCGTCCCAAGGTCCTTTGGCGTGCAGCTCAACGCCCGCCCCCTCCTGCCGCCACCGCGCACAGGGGAAGTGGAGTGGCATCTCGGCGATAACGGCGCGGTGGCGGTGTCTGCTCGCGTGCGTGCCGGTGAGACAGTGTGGTGCCGCTCCGGCGCCGTCTTGTTGGAGCGCACAACAATGTTCTGGTGGTCGAGACACCACACGCGGCGCTGCTCTTTTGTCTCACCAAGGTGGGTGAGTGTGGGTCTCGCACGGATATGGACAACGGGTAGGGCGGCACGGTGGTGCTGTGGTAGGCGCGGCCGTGAGGCCGTCGTCAACGGTGTGCCGGTGCGCTCACCGGTTGTTGCTGTGACCATGCTTGTTGACTCCTCTGTGGAGAGTACGACCCAGGTGTCGCTTGCAGACCTCGCCTCTAGATGAGAACGGCTGCGCACCATCACCGCCAGCGCCACTGCAAAGGCTCTTCAACTCCTCTTCCACTTCTTTCCTTCCTGCACCTTCCAGCTGCACCGCAACAACAACAGAGAGTTGTCGAGTGAGAAACGAGGCAGTGGGGCAGAGAAAGGGGGAAAAAGAAAACAGCATGAACCAAGGAAGCCCCAAAAGACACTCAGAGAAGCAGAAACCCGTAAAATGTCAGGAACCCAGTGGCGTAGTAGTAGCAGCCACGGCTCTGGATAGATAGACTCCCACTGGCGCAGATACCGTGCCCCTCTGTTGCGCATGTGACGAGGGAGAGCCTCCCCTCCTCCCACTCACCCCCCCCCCTGAAAAAAAAAGAGAAAGAGATAAAAAGGAAATGGAACGAAGGACACATCAGAGCGACGGTGCAGGGACGTGCGACGCCGGGTAGGGCACACGACTACCTCAACCCCACCGACCCTCAGCAGCGTTCGAACACCTTGTAGAGTTCCTCCACCGACACCACTGTCTGCACTGTACCGTCGATCAACGCATCTGCCGGCGGGGCGAAGAACTTCATGCTGGTCGCGCACGGCACGAGACCGAAGCGAATCGCGTCGACTAGCGAAGGCACACCGTCCCGCGCCACCTCCCCCGCATCATCGGCTGGCACTGGCGCACTGCACCACGCATCGTGCAGACGCAGGCTGTAGAGAGTGTCTGCGATGTGCCGCGCAATGGCGGTGAAACAGGCGGCCTCATCGCCGCCATCGTACGGCACCTCTGCAGCCAGACGCCACACAAAAAGAGGTACAACGCGCGGCGGAGGCGGCCACGACGCGTTCAGCCCGAATGGCAACGCCACAAGGTGCCCGTCATCCGTAATTTCAATGGCGAAGTACTCCTGCAGCATGCAACGCCAGTGCCGCAGGCGCCGTTCCATCCGAGTGACAATCCGCTGCGTGTCCTCGCACGGGGCAGTACCAGACGGCAACTGCACGTCCTGCTGTAATGCAAAGCGCAGCAGGTCTGACACCTTTACGGGATCTTGCAGCACTAGCTGTGGCGGCGCCGGCACCGACGCTGCCGCCCACCGCAGAAAGATGCGCTGGTACACCACAAGCCTCACAAGGCGAAGTGTGTCGATGGCGTAGAGCGTCGTCCCGGACTGCGCAAGGAAAAAGCGTCCATTCACCACGCCCACATATGCAAGTTTTTCAAAAAGCGACTGGGCAGTAGGGGAAGTCGCCTGGCGGATAAACGCCACGATAGTCGCCACACTCGTAAGAAGAAGATCCTCACAGTTGTCGGGAGTAACCTTCAAGATTCCATCAGTCACGAGATCCGTTTCCACAACTGCAGTTTCTTTTCCCGTTCCTCTTTCTGGCGCTGTTGTTGTTGGCTCACCACTTCCATCCGCTGAGCCAACCGCTTCGTGTATTTCCCTCCTGTGGCGTTTGAAGTGTTGCATTACGTAACCACCGTCCTCTTCCTCTTCATCTTCATCATCTTCCTCCTTCGTTGCATCATCCGCGCTGTTCGCACCACCACCACCACCACCCAGCCTCATGATAGAGGCAACAAGTGAAGCTGTTGTTGGGGGAGCGTCCGTCTCCACGGCTGTCGTTGCCGCAACCGTCATCACCCGCGCACCTTGTTCTTCCCGGGACTCCACAACTTCTGTCTTGACGAGGGCCACTGCCTCCGAGGCTCCGGAATGTTTACGCTCACCATCCTTGTCGCCGCCGTCATTGTCGTCCAAGAGCACCGTATTCCCCTCCGCCCCCGGGAGTACCGATGCACGCCGCATATACGCGTCGAGTGCGCCACGCTGCGGCTCTACTCGCACAAGCGTGCAAGGCGCTGCCGTCACACCACCTGCAGCGGGCAGTGACGATGAAAGTTGTTGCAACTGGGCCCCTCTGTCACCAAGCGCCGCTGCCTTGGCAAGAATCGGCCGTGTATTTATTTGCCGGCGTGCTGCAGAGTCCATCAGTGCAGCACGAACTGCCTCCGACAGCCGTGCGACGATTATCTCCTCGTCGAGCAAGCAGACTTCGTGCTTCGTGGGGTGAATGTTCACATCCACACGATCGGGGGGCACCGTGATAAAAAGCACAGTGAATGGATGGTTTCCACCCGTCAGCACACCGCTGTACACCGTGTCCAACGCTCGCCTCACCACAGCGCTCTCTACCAACCGGCTGTTGACGAACAGACAGAGGTACGACTTGCGGTTGGGGAGGGCCAGGCCACTCGTGTAGCCAGTAATGTGAAAGCAGTCTGCTCCTGCGTCACCCGTTGTTGCCAGCACGTCTGCAGGTGAGCAAGTATCTGCACGAGAGCCCACACATCGCAACTCGTGCAGGTGTGACGCGATCACCGCGCCGTGGAAGAGGCGAATGTTTGCGAGTGTTGTGGATTCCTTGGGAAATACCACCTCCGCCTTTCCACCGTTGCTGATGCTTCCTTCTTCACGGCGACACGAGAATGCAACATGTGGGAACGCCAAGGCGTATCGCGACACGATTGCAACAATGCGACTGTACTCCTCCGAGGGGCGGCTCAGTGCGCGTCGACGCACAACAGCGTTGTAGAACATCTTCTCCACGCGTATACAGGTGCCGGGGTTGCCAGCACACGGCTTCGGTTCCCCTTGCATAGCCCCATCCATGAAGTGGCAACGCCACGCCAGTGTGCCTGCGGATGTCTCGTCGGGTACAGCGCGACGCATTGTTGTAACGGTCACTCTTGACACATATGAGATGGAGCTCAGCGCCTCACCGCGGAAGCCAAAGGAACTGATTCGGCTCAAGTCCTCGAACGCACGCAGCTTGCTGGTGGCGTAGCGCTCGCATAGAAGCGGTAGATCATCATAGCAGATGCCATGGCCATCGTCGGCCACCTGCAGCAACTGCAACCCGCCATCCTGCGCGAGCACCTGAATCGAGGTACTCCCCGCGTCCAGTGCGTTTTCCAGCAGCTCCTTCAGCGCCGCGCTCGGCCGCTGCACAACTTCTCCGGCGGCAATGCGGTTGATGACGCTTTCGGAAAGGCGCTCAATACGCCTCATTGAAGCCCTTTCTCACATTAAATGGTGATGCGGACAGAGATGGGTAAAAGAAAACAAAAAGAATGGACAAAAGAATACAGAGAAACAAAGAACAGAACCCATCACACCATAGTCGCACTGTTCCGGCCGGCCAAACATGAGATAAAACACATTTATCTGCCATTAAAACAATCTAGATATAAAAAAAAGTCCAAAACTACAAAAAACAACAGCAAGGAGGTAGGCGTCCAGTCTCACCATGCTTATGCAAGACTACACACAATATTCTTTTATCCGGCTCTCACCGCCGCACACGAGAGATCCATGTCTTTTTCTTTTCTCTGATCGGATCAGCTTCAGAAACTTCTGGCCCTCCTACTGACCCCCGCCCCTCATGCGCAGACGGTATGCCAAGAATTCATGGAGGTCAACGGCCCCGCTGCGATCCATGTCAATGCTATAAAAAAGCCGTTGCCCTTCCGCGAAATCCCTTACGTCACCTGTGCTCACAACAAGCCGTGCGAATTCATCCATGCTTAGCAGGCCATTCTGATCCGTGTCGTACATGCGAAACTGCATCATGATAGTGTTGTATTCGGACTGAGAAAGCCCATAAAGAGCCTTGGGGTCTGGGCGGTTGTGGCGCAGCCACGTCAGAAACTCATTGAGAGACATCGTCCCGCTGCCATCCGCATCCATGTCACGGAACATGCGATCAATATCCTTATCAGTCCGAGCAAAGTTAAGCCACCGCGCGAGCCGTCCAACCTCTCTGCGGTCTAACCCACCGCTTTCGTTGTCGTCAAAAAAGGTAAACAGCGCCATAATCTCGTCATACTCGTTCTGCGACAGACCAAAGGCACGCCACGGCGTCTCACCCGTCGGCACCATCACTGGATGCTTTGGGCCGTGCGCAGCGCCCAAGGTCGCCGAAGACACTCCCGCGGCCCCACGGCACGTGTGCGAGTCACCCTGCTCGCGTGTGCCGGTCCAGCCACACGAGGCACACTTTACTGGTATTGCCAGTGCCATGTTCACGAGGGTGCGGTTCGGCTTTTTGGTATTCGTCGGACGCTGACGGCACATCGGGCAGCTGTCCAAATCATCTACGCACTCTTTACAGAAGATGTGCCCACACGGCACCAACTCAATCGGATTCTTCCAAGAGTCTAAGCAGAGGGCGCACCGCATCTCCTCGCTGCAATCCGTGGCCAGGATTATCGGAGGCATAAGAAGCTAACCAACAAGGAGCTCTTCCCTGGAAGAATTATCGCCTATTTAACCGACAAGTGAAGACTGCAGTGAAACAAAGAAGACAATATGTATTACGTCATCCTGTAGAAACCTCACTTCTCTATACGGATTTCCTCACCTCTTTCACCCCGTATATTAGTTTCACACACGGGGAGGGAGTTTATGTATGTGTGCATCCATCACTCCCTTTTCCTCCGTTTTCTGCTCCCTGAGACGGCACCACTATCTTCACTCGACGCGTCTGCCGCCTCAGTTACAACACGGAGGAACGACTCCCTCACGACGCGCGCGTACTTCATCTGTGATCTGATGCTTGCACAGAGCTTGCGCCAGTCCGCCCACGCACTACGAAGCGGCAGCGGCCTGTCGACCTCCGGATCGACAAAAACGTGCAATTTTGGCCGGTGGGGGGCAAACTCCTTGCGGTACTCCTCGTAGTATGGGTCTTGGCGGGGGATGTAGTGAGGTAGCGGCCGCCCCAGTGCCGTTGCGGTGTTGATCGCCCAGCAGCGGGCGGTATTGAAGACGTGATACCCGCCGCCACCGAGGAGAACAGCTGGCAGCCCGAGTCGCAGCACATCGGCGACACACTGGGAGTGGGCGGCTGTTGTCACGTTGAGCCTCCCAATGAGATCGCCCACAATACAATCCGCTCCGCACTGCACAACGACTGCCTCAGGGTCAAAGCAACGTACCGCAGCTGTTACGACTGTACGGAAGTACAAGAGGTACATGGCATCGCCGGTGCGAACGGGGAGAGGGACATTGACGGCAAAACTATTTTCCGTCTCGGGGCAACCATAGTCGCCAGTTCCAGGAAAAAAGCCATTGCCAAATTGATGCAATGAGACAGTCATGACACGCGTGTTGCCGTAGAAGGCCGCCTCCACTCCGTCTCCGTGGTGAACGTCAAGGTCAAGGTAAAGGATACGCTGAAACCGACGCAGCAGACGTTGAATGCACAGTACAATGTCATTCACAAAGCAGAACCCACTCGCGTGTGCTTCGGCGCCGTGGTGCATACCGCCTGCCCAATTGATTGCTATGTCCGCCTCGCCGCGGCACAGTGCCTCACCACAGGCAATGGAGGCACCTGCCTGACTTGCCACCAGGTCCCACACCTCTGGAAAGAGTGGGCAATCTCCGTCACGCGACAGCACCGGCATTCCAAACTCCTTCTGGTACGACATAGCGACAGGATCGAGCGGGTTGCCGCAGATAAACGGCGCGGACCGCAGACATTCCACGTAGGCCGCGCGATGAAACCCACGAAGCTCCTGCTGTGTGGCCGGACGAGACTGAAACACCATCATGTGGGCGTCCAGCCCTAACGACCGCACGAGGGAGTGCAACACCCGTACACGGGACGGCTGCATCACGTGCCCCTCCGCGTACGCGATGGCAGTTGTGGATTCATCAACAAAATAGAAAACACGACGTGAAGAGGAAGGTGATGCCGTTGGGGGTGTAGAGTCAGGCGGGCGCTTCACCTCGTTCCCGTCACTGGCTGTCATTGGCGCGTCTCACCTCATGCGTTGACTGTACCTTGGTTGGCTGTCGCCAACGGAATGTGCCCAGCAGAGGCTGAGGCAGACGGAGCAGTGGGGGATGCTCTCCCTCAGCCGGTCAACTGGCACACGGACTACCCCGTTCGTCCACTACCAAAAGGAAGAAAGTAACGCAGGACCTACAACCAAGCAGAATGGCATGAAAACAAAGCATTTTAAAAAAAAAATAATTCAGTATAGTGTACAAACGGAACTCAGAAAAGTTTAAAAAAAAACACGACAAACACACACAATCTTACAAGGATAAGCACCAACAACGACGAAGAGCAAAAAGGGCTACAAAAGTCATCCCGACGCAGCCTCCAATAATCCAAAAACAATAATAAAAACGCAAAAGTACCCTCAACACCTTTGGTGGAATCTGATGAAATACACATTACAAGCAACAGAACATCCATACTTATTTCACTTTAAGACGCCCCCAAAACATTTCTTCCACAGTTTCCACACAACTTCAAACGCGGTTTGACTTTATCCGCCCCGCTCCGGAGGGTTTCTCTCTTTCCTCATATAAAAAAAACCTGCTTAGGCCTTCCTCACACGCAGACGATGCTCCAAGAATTCATGGAGACCAACGCCCCCGCTGCGATCCATGTCAATGCTATAAAAAAGCCGTTGCCCTTCCGCGAAATCCCTTACGTCACCTGTGCTCACAACAAGCCGTGC